GCCTGGAGCCCTGGTGAAGCAGGTCATGGCAGATCCACAAACCTGTTCTTTGTAGACTGTCTTTTTATACTTACTGTGTTCTTTGTATTCGTTTCCCTTTTGTTCTTTAATATTAGCAAAGCCTTTTGGAAAATGGCTGACAGCAAGAATTGTCATGGGAAGAGCTCTGCCTGGATCTGAACTAAAGCTTTAAAAAGGCAGGAACACTCTACCTCCCCACTACACACATCAGTAACTGGAGGCAGCCACCTTGGAGGCCAAGGGCACAGGGGAGAGGCCCTTGGTCAGCTCCCCTCCGGGCCTGGGGGCAGGTTTCTATCCAGGACCAAGGCTTGGAAAGAACGGGGTTTCACACACTGAGCCGCGTTGAGTGCATACCCTCCCAGACCCCGACCCACAGAGGATCAGGTTCAAGGGTGGGCTGCAGATACCGAGGCTGGCCAATCAGGGAAGTCATCCTGGAGGAGAGGTCTGGGAGGCTAGTTTAGGAAAGGAGAAGGCCAGAGCAGAGGGGAGAAAAGCGGGCAACATGCCTGGGCAGTTGGGCGCTGGATGATTTAAGTACAACCAGATGTGCTGGGAATCTCCTGGCAGGCAGAGCCCCGGTGAGGGCAGAGTGGGGGTGGGGAGACCTCTGGGCCACTTGGATTTCCAGTTCCCCATTCTGCCCTGAGTCTGTAAGCTTTAGGGACGGGAGAAGCCCAGTGGGGTTCTAGATGAGCTGGCATGTAAGAAAGTGAGCCTGGCAGCCTTGGGTGGAGTCTTCTGCCTTTGGACTGGGAATAGGAAGGGCAGGGTTCCTCCAGGGAGCAGGGTATTGGGCCCAACACCCGGAACCTAGAAAAAAGGAGTAAGAGCGCTTGGGGGTAGGAACGCCCAGCTCTGCTGGGGTTGAGGGATAGCTTGGGAAGGCTTCACAGAAGAAAGCATATACACTGGGTTCTGGAGGATGAACAGAAGCTCCCAGGACAGGATAGGGGAAATGCTACTCCCGGGAGAGAGGCCTGAGATGTTCAAATGGTGTGGGCGCTTTGCGACAGGTTCTGTGGGACTGTATTCTGAAGGCACATGGGGGATGACAGTTCAGGTGGCCCGCGGCCCGAGGGCTACGCTGCAGGATGTGGGCGGCATGGGCATGCTTCTGCTCACAGACCAATGGCAGAATCAGAGGTAGGGTGCGGATTTTGGAAGTGGGTGTCAGGATTCCCAAGTGTTGGGCTCCTAGGGGAGAGGAGGGGACTGATGGCAAGTCTCGGCTCCTCCTGCCAAGCCTTGTGTGGTCTGGACAGAGCTGTATCTGCCCAGAGAAAGGGACACTTTTTCTAATTCTTCTGGAAGCTCTTAAGAGCCCCTAGTATGGCTGTGGGGCGGGGACCAGACCCAGATCCAGGTCATAGCACACTGAGAAGGCAAAGCTGGAACAAGCACGCAAACAGTAAGAGTGTGGGTGGCTGAACAGGGTTGGGGAGGCACTAGGAACTGGAAAGCCAGGCGGCCAGAAGAGGAGGGCTAGGGCTTCCAACTGTGGGCGAGCAGCCTGAGCCCAGAGAAAGTGGGGAACAGTAGCAGCCAACTGGGTGTGGTATCCTCTGGGTGTGCACCCCAGTCCCCCAGCCCGGACACATTTCCTTCCTTTCCTGATTCTTAATGATTCCTGAGCGGCCCATACAAGAGGACCACAAAGAGAGCTCTCCCCGCCCTTTCCTCTTCCTCTCTTCCATTTCTTTCTCCCTTCCTCCCCCCACCCCATCCTTCCCCAAGGCCCTTGTCTTTCCTTCCTCCTCACCCCATCTGCTCCTCCCCCTCCCTCCCTCTCTGGCTTCACACATCTTCCCTCTAACTCTCCTCTCTCCCTTCAAAATGCTTAATGCTGTTTCTCTCTGGGCCAGCTGGGTTATCTTTTTTGATGTTTGCAGAAAGGCCCTGTGGTGAGTCTCTGGACCAGGAAGCTCATGCTCTCACACATCCCTGTATATATACACATGCCCATGCTAGCCCAGCACCTGCCACCCCTGGGAGCGGGGTGGAGGGTGGGGTTATCTACCTTGCATGTGATACAAGCGAAAGGGCCAGGAAAGAATGAAGGGCCCTCTGCCGAAGCCACACATTATTGCTATCAATACCACTATCATTATCCAATCCATTGCTGGGCACTTGACCTGCTGGGGGATGGTCACAAGACACCCTGACCAGCATGTTCTCAGCAGAGGGCTCTCATGGCATGGATCCATTGACCGCAGACAGCCAGGGGAGGGTCAGCAGGGAGTCCTCAGAGAACAGACTCCTAAGGCCCCGCTCAGGAGGGCAGAGGGAGAGACATGATAACGGGCCATTTGCCAGGACTGTCAGCCCAGGAGGAAGGATGATGTATGAACAGGACTTGAATGAGTTTGGGGGGGGGGTCACACTTCATTGCCTGAGTACTGGTGCAGGATGGGGGCGTTGAAGGGTGAAGAGACCAGCCTTATCCCCAACCTGCTAATGAAACCCCCTAATGTGACCCATGCCTATTTACCCATGAGAAGCAATTCAGCACCTCCAAGACGCTGAACCTTCCCTCCTGGAGTCCAGCGAAGGCCTCCTCAGCATACTGGCCCATCCTACTATCTTACTGGGAAGGCCTTCCTGAGGCCTAACCTTATCCTTTCTACCAGTATTGGAAGGGCCTCTTCCCCCAGGCTCCTGGGGAATGAAGGAGAACTGGACCCCTGATGCAGGGGAGCACATTATCAATTCTGTCCTCCATCCTCACTCCTGTCATCCGCCTGTGCCCTGGCCCAGTGACACCCAGCTACAATGCCCTGGCAATGCCAGGCTTGAACTCCTGGCGCTAGTTGTGGTGGGTGAGGTCACTTAGCTCAGGTGGACATTGGTCTTTCCCTTAACTCCTTCGCCTGACCCTTGGGAAGCCTGATAGGTAGGTGGAAAGAATACAGTGGATTTCAGGTCCAGCTTTATTGTATGACCTAAAGTTTGTCACTTTTCTCTGGACCTTAGATGCCCCATCAGTAAGAAATACTCAATGAGGTCCTTCTACCTCTGTTATCCTGGGATTGTCCCTTCAACAAGGGGTTCAGCTCTCCTAGGGTGGTGGCTATTGCCCACTTCCTCCTGCCTTTCTGATTCTGAAGCCAGGGGCTGCCCTAGCATTCTGAGCCTTGATATATGCGTATACTTCCCCTGTGCCAGGGTGTGATCTTGGGGGTGTGGAGGGGAGAGGATTCTGGGGTAGAGATCCTGATCTTGGTGAGTTCTAGAACCTGTTTGGGTGCTGGTCCTGTTTCCATATGTGGGTTGGGAAAAAATGGGGCACATTGAAGGCCTCCCCCTTCCTTTTCCCTGAGTGGCACCTACAGGGGGTGCCCTGAGAGTTCACCACCCAGCATTCTCAGAGGAACCACTACTAGAAGTGTTGAGAATTCTTCAAAGCAGAGGACAGAGTGCTACCCTGCAGGCTGGCAGTGAGGGGTGCAGGGGCAACCTCGCTCTATTGGTGCTTAGAGAGGCTGAACAGCATGCACAAGGAGAAGAAAAAAAACAAAACAAAACCCAACTCAGAAGAGAGGAGCCCTCAAACACTGCCCTTGGGTGGGAACATAGATGACTTGGGAGCCTTTGGATGCTCAGCATCTCCAGGAAATCTATCTGGACCCTCCAACTTAAGCTCAGCCCCATCTCCTACAACCTCATGGGGGCAAAATGGGTTCTGCTATGGGTCTCTTGTCCTGCAGGCTTCCTTTCCCGGCTTGATCGCTGAAGTCTTGTGTCTGTGTCTGATAGAATTCTGTCTGTCCTTGGACTGAGAGCTCCAGGAGGACAGGGATGTGCCTTTGGGACCCTGTCGGGTGTCCCCTGCAACTAGCCCAGTGCTTGGCCCAAAGAAGACGCTCAATACAGTACATAACGGTTGCAGGAATACACCAGTCAATGATCTCCTTTGGACATCCCTAAGCAGACCACAGGTCTGGGATTCATCCCTCATCTTTGCCTTCCGCCATTCAGCCTGCTTGGCCCAGTGGCAATGTGGCCCTCTTGGGGAAGCCCTCCAGTGAAGCCCATTTATAGTCACATCCCACGCTCTGCTGCCCACGTCGGGGGCTCGGTCACGGCCCAGCTCCCTGGCTGTGTGTGTCCTGCCCTCTGCATCCCGGGCTGCGGGCTGCCGCGGCAGCGGAATCTGGTACCAGTAGGTGGTCAGTTCACTTGGGGGCGGGGGCGGGGGGCGGAGGATGAAAGTGTGAGTCAACACGGGTTTGGCCAAGCGGCAGAGGCAGTCCTGGGAGAGGGGGTCTGGGAGGACAGCGGACGCGCGGGCCGGGCCGGCCGCCTTCTCCTTTGCCCTTCGACCCAGGAAGCCGCTCACACCCTGCGGACACGCTCGGCGGGCCGGCTGCTCAGTCCCGGCCTTCCCCTCGGCGGACCGCTCCCCGACCCCGACCCCGGCCGGCCCGCGCGGCCTCCACCCGCTCCCCAACTTTCCGCCCCGACGGCCAGGCAGGGGGACGGGCGGACCTGAGAGTGGCCCAAGGGCGCTCTCCAAACCAAGGGTCATTTGCTTCCCCCTCTCCGCCCCCGCGGCTAATTTATTTGAGAGCTCCGGGAAGGAGGGGGCGGGGCCAGGCCAGGAGGGTGGAGAGGCGGGGCCGGTGAGCCCCGGGGAGGTGGGGGCGGGGCGGGGGCGAGGACCGGGAGGGCGGGGACGGAGCCGGGGGCGGGAGGGCGCGGGGAGGGGCGGGCGTTGGGGGAAGGGAGGGGCGCGAGGGGAGGAGGGGAGGGAGGAGCAGGGGAAGGGGAGGGGAGCGAAGGCCCGTGAGGGAGGGCGCGGGGGGCGGGCGAGGGGAGGCGGGGGTGGGGGTGGGGGTCCTGCCTGCCGGGGGAGCCGGGGCGGCCCCTTGTCCGGCCACCCCCACTGCCCAGTCCCGCTCCCGGCCGCGGCGGCCGCAGCAGTAGCCGCTCCAGGATGGTGAGCGCCGCTGCCCTCCAGACCCGGCCTGTCGCCCCCGGCCCGCGCCCCGGCCCCGGGGCCGGACGCCCCCCCAGGCCGCGCACACTCACCTAGGACCCGGCCGGGATGCCGAGGTACGGGGCCGCGGGGCCAGGCTGGGGCAGGCACGGGAGCGCGCGGCCGGGCCGGGGTCAGGGGGTGGTGACCGTTCGGTCGGGGTGTCCGGAGCTTTGTCCGCGGGCGCGGGGCAGTGCGAGGGCGGGAGAGGGCGGGGGCTGAGGGTCGCGGGGTTCAACTAGGCGGGGGTCGAAGGGCAAGGCCAGCGAGATGCCCGTGCGGGTGCGTGGGAGCCCAGGGTCACTTCCCGGGGGTCGGGGGCGGGCAGAGAAGGGGATGGCCTCTCCGCCGCCGACGGGCACTCTCTTCGCTGCCCCGTTTGGTGCGGAGGCAGCAGCAATAGCGAGCAGCCGGCTCGGGGGGAGCCCGCGGGATTTGGGGGGTGGGGAGCCCGGATTTGAGGGTTCGGGTCCCAGAAGGATCCTGTGTCCGGAGCCCGAAGGCCGGCCCTCAGGCCCCTCCCACTCCGTCAGGTCTTTGTCCAGCGGCCTGTGTGTGTGTGTGTGTGTGTGTGTGTGTGTGTGAGAGAGAGAGAGAGAGAGAGAGAGAGAGAGAGAGAGGTGGGGGCTGGGGGCTGGGTTCCTGGTCCGGAGATTCCCCAGCATCGTGACGGGGCAGTGACAGGAGACAAGCCACTTCGGGCCCTGAGCCCCTAAAGCCCAGACCTTCCTTTCTTTTCTGGCCCGGAGAGCACAGAGCCCCGTCTCAGGGTCAGGGTGTTGGCAGGAGCGGCACTTACCTTCACTCATGGGCCACAGGCTACAAGGGAGACCCACTGAGCTCCCAGCTCTCTAGACGGAGCCCCTTAAACTTCCCCACTTCGCGAGCCCGCTCTCGGTCTACACGGATTCCCTTGCCAGGAACCCGCTCTATGGAGGGCCCTCTGCAGAGGGCTGGGCACACAGTAGGTGCTCAGCAAATGGAGGCCCCCTGGCCCGGCCCCTCCACGCCGGGTGCACCTCCCGGGCGGAGGAGGCCTGGGAAGGGGTCTGCGCGGGGGAGAGCGTGAGTGGCCTGGAGCCTGCGCCTAGAGGCGGCCTGGAGCGCAGGGGTGGGTGGACGGGTGGGTGGGCTGTTAAAGGGACGGTCACTAAATCAGGATTAGGCCGTGGGGCTGTCAGGCTGCCTGGCCCTGTCTCCATGGATACCTAATTTGGAGGAGAATAGAGGACGGAAGAATGTTTGTGTTGTCGTCCGCACGGCTGCGGCGGCGGAGCGGTCTCCTGACCCTGGCGAGGCAGTGAGGAACCGGGATCCGGTTCCAACTCCATTCTGGGCTTCTGCGGCGGCAGGGCCCGGGGTGGGGCGGTTAGGAACTTCTGGGGGCCCAGGGCCTTACTCGTGGATCCTGTGGAGTGGGCCGGGTGGTGCCGTGGTACAGAGAACTCCCGCCGTGCACAGGGAGCCCCAGACCCTCCCGAATCCAACCTGAAACCCCTGTGCAGCCTTCTGGACACGGCCGGGCTGGGGTGTCTCAGAGCCCCCATCCCGGAGCCTCTCGCCGGTAGCACACGCCATCCTCCGCTGGGCCTTAGCCCCGGAGGACAGACGCGCTGGGCGGTCCGGGGGCCGCGGCGCTGCTGGGATCCCCCAGCCACACGGGTACCTGGCCGCCGCGCGAGCTGCGAGGCAGGGGGCGGGGCCGGGCTTCCTGGGGTGGGCGAGAAGGGGGCGGGGCTTGCCGGCCGGCGGTGCTGGACCGAGTGACAGGCCTCGTAAATCCCCCTTTCCCATGTTTAAAGCCATTTCATTTATTTCCACTTGATTCCATTGGTGTCCACAGCAGCCACCCTTGTAAGGAGTGACCCCCGGTACCCTCGCTGTAATGTCTTCAGGGGGAAAGCCCACTTGGGCCAAAGGGAACTTAGCTACATGAGGCAGTGGAGTTGCTCCTGGAGAGGTGGGCCAGATAACCCCCATTCCTCAGGGGGCCACCCAACTTCACAGAAGAAGAAGAGGGGGTCGAGAGGCACGGCCTCTGAGGCCCTGCGGGATCTTCTGACTTTGCTATAAGGGTGGGCTCCGCCAAGGATCCCGGGAGTGGACAATGCCAGTACACAGACTAGAGGGGGTCACGGGAGTGGTACCAGTCCCCAGTGTGTCTCTCAGAGCCCTTATTTGCTTTCCTCTTGGTCCTTCTGGCCACAGCTTTTTATGGGGCAAGAATCCCCTCCCCTCCCCCACCTGGGCTGTAGCTTTATTGCTGAGATCTCAGACTCTCCACGCAATTTCACGCCTCTCTGCCTTTGCTCTTCCTGTTCCCTCAGCCAAATGCCTTCCCCATTGTCCCTGTCTTTCCACAACCTCCTCATTCTTCAAGGCCCAACTCGGATGCCCTACTTCCTCCTTGTAACCTCTGCTCCTGCCCTTCCCTCCGTGTTCTCCTGGCCCTGCACCTGTGCTTCGCTTCAGCCTTCAGCCTTTAGCCTGAGTCCACACTAGGCTCTGCCTCCGGGACAGAGGTGGAGCACACACTTCCCTGCACCTTGCCTCCAGGGACCTGGCATGCGGGCTCCGTACCATGTGGGTATCCCAGAAATATTTGTTGGCGGAATTAAAGGAGTTTTATAAGGGCAGCCTGCAAAGCATAGAATCTGGACATTTTCTGGCAGACAGTTCTGCGCTCCTGGGTGGGTGGAGACCCCTGGGTGGCTTTCCTTCTCCTCCTCATTGCTAACTCTCCCCCTCCTTCCAAGTCGGGGAGGACTTTGCCCCTTCCTTTCCCCACAGACCAGCATTCTTTCCCTGCCATTATCATCCTGTTAAACAGAGAGGCCAGTCAGGATCCATATGGATCACATTAACAATTGCTTATTATCTGGGCCAGGACTGCCCCCACTCTCTACCCCCAGCTCCTACTGCTGCAGTGGCTGTACCCTTAGGAGCCCAGTCTCCCCGCCCCCCTCCCCCCACCACTGGTCAGCCAGGGAGGCCAGGAGACAGGCTGATCTCCCTCACCCTCCCTGTGCCTTCTCGCAAAACTCTGCTTCTTCTTGACTTGGCTGGCAGTTAATGACCCCTTTACCTGATTTAATGAAAACCAGTTTCCCTGCAGGAGCAGAACTCCGTGAGGTTTCAGGGCTGCAGCAGGGAGAGGTGGACCTGAGGCCCAGGTGCACCTGTGGTCTGCAGCAGCCCCTGCCTTCCAGTGGACAGAGGCAAGCCCCCCTGGGCTGACCATGGAGTATGCTGGTGTATTCTGCCATCTCAGCCCTGGGCTAGCCCTGTTCCCTCTTGGGAGCTGGCAGGCCAGTGAGGAAGACCAAGGCACCAGAGTCTGTGCAAGACTGTGTGGCACTGGGTCCCAAGCCTTGCGCTGCTGTCAAAGAAGCAAAAAATCTGAGAATTTCCTGGAGTGGCAGCTGAATTAGCCTTGAAGGCTGGGGATCAGAATTTATGTTGAAATGCATATAGCCCAAGAAATCTAGAGATGGAAGGGACCTTCAAGATTACCCAGTCTGGGAATCCATAGCTTTTTCTTTTTTTATTTACAGACCCTCTCAAGGAATCAGCAAAAGCCATCCCCAGAAAAATGCACTTGCATCAATTGACACCAGACTTTGCATTCTGCTTTAGGGGGTTCATGGGCCCCCTGGAGCACATGGGACCCTCCATCTAGAAGCTCCCCCCCGAGCCCAGCCCTCTCTGAAGTGGGGAGGGCAGAGTCAGACCTGCGGCCCAGCACTCCTGCCTCACATGCAGTGCTGTCTCCATGGCCTTCGTATGGGCAGGTGGGCAGGGTGAGCTGAGGGACCAGGGGGAGCGAATCAAGGTGACTGGCCAGGCTTTGAGTGGGAAAGGTTCCCACTGCCCATTGCAGGGGTTCATCATCTCATCTCTGAGTGCGTCGCCTGGAGAGAGGGTGTCCAGGGCTTATTTTGTTTGGGGATCCATTTGGCCCCAGGAATCAGGAAAATCTAGCTTCTTCTCCAAGCATTTCATAAGTGTCTTGATCAATCATAGCTAACACTTAGACAGCATGCATTACATACTCTAAATGTCATCTGTGAAATGGGACCAAGAATCGTGCCAACATCATAAGCATTAATATGAGGATTAAATGAGGCGTGGGCCTGGGGCTGTAACCCCTGAGTTCTATTCTTGAATGCCTGCAGACCTGTGCAGGCTTGGTCAGAAATGCAGGTGACAGTGCTCAGAGCTGTCACTGCTGTTGAGGCTGACATTTCCCTGCTTGGCCCAGCCAAGGAGAAGGGGCCGCGATGGAAAGCACCCAGGTGCCCTGCTCTCTTTCCCTTCAGCACTGAGGCAAGGGCAGTGTTATCCCCAATCCACCCTGGCGGCTGGAGGCGGGGGGCGGGGAGTTCCGATGAAGGGGAGCATTGGGCAGTGGCCACAGCCCAGTCTCCACAGGCTCAGACCTGATTTTATGGTGACCAATCATGGCTGTCGCCCTCGGGCCCAAGTCCTGGCTGGCCATGACCCTGCCACTAGTCCGGTGTAGTTACCCTGGACAAGTCCCTTACTCTGTTTGAGTTTCAACCTCTTCATCTACCAAATGGGGATAAAAAGACAGTGAGTTCATAGGTGACAGAGCCCTGGTTTCAAAGAGTGTGTCCCTTTGTCTCTGAAGTATACTATGTACCTTTGGTCACTCGTTCAGTGACTCAGAACCCAGGGACTCCAGCGAACCACCTCCTAATGTAGGTGTAAGGAGAAAAGGGATATGTGGGAACATTCTGGCTCATGGCAGGGCTGCCCAGACCATCTTCGAAGCTTTCTCCAAAGACATCAGAGGGTAGGGAAAGGACAGCCGGCTCAGCTGTGTCAGGAACCTGGGAGGTGGAAGCGTACCGCCCTCTGCCCGCCCTCTTTGCCTGGGCGGACTTGGTCCGCCTGATCCCCAGCCCAGGGCTGAGATCAGAGGCAGGTGGCGAAATGTGCCCAAGAGGCTGCATTTTGCTCTGATAAACCTGTGTTGAGCACCTGCTATGTCCCAGCACTGCTCAGGGTCCTGAGTGTACCTTAGCCAGGCTGCAGGGGGTGCCCAGCTTTGGCT